TAAATGGTATTGGGATGATTATGCCTTCAAGTATGATTAGGGCCAATGGCCAGAAGAGCCAGTGGTTAGCCTGCAGCGCCGTGAATTACTTCATATGGCTTTTCTACCAGTAGTCTTTGTAACTTTTTCCTGAAGGGAGTGAGTAAGAAAAAGTGGGAGAAGATGCTAATAAACTATGATTCCCTTGTGACTGTTAACAGAGTTAACTGTGATTGTAAAAACTTGGTTCTCTAATGTGGGTTTTGAAAGGAATCATCTCAGCAGCAGGAGGAAGGATCTCACTACTATCAGGAAGAAAGAGCCAACAGTGGAGCATGTCCTACAGGCCCTGAGATCCTTGCACATTGAGTCCCCTTGACCTAGGGACAGAAAGCTGTGATGCTGGAGGAGTGGCAGAAGAACAGCAGCAAGATAACAAAGAGCCAGAGCACAAGACAGCAGCTTGCCAGCTCACAGAGCAACTAAAGTGACTTTGGGCAGAAGGCTTACTTGCAGAATGGAGAATCTCCACTCCAGATTCTTAATTAGGGAAGCTAGGTTTGCTGACCATGGAACTACAGCTGAGTGCCTTCAGACTGAGGCTTGTGGTGGAGTGGTGTGCCCTGTGGGCATTTGTCAGTAGTCCTAAAAGGGATTTGTAATATTAGTCAGGCAAAGAGAGGGCTGCTAGTGGGCACAGTGGAGGAGAGGCTTCCTGTTTGGGACAACTGTGCCCTAAGCATTTCTGACCCTGAATTGTAACCTGTTTCCTTACTTAATGGAGATCTGGTGTGCTGCTGTGGGTTAATGTGCTGGACTGCAAAGTTGTTTAAACCACAAGGTCAGTGGTTCAAGCTTCCTCAGAAACCCTATACAGGGTTGCTATGGGTCAGAACTGACTTGACAGTACTTAACAGCAACAACAACAATCTTACTTAATAACCCCGTACCTGTGAGTACGGTGTCTGAGTTCCATGTGGCCACTGCATTGAATTAACTGAATCTAGTTGAGAAGTGAGCACTGTAGAATGGATGGTTTGGTGCTTTGTTTTTGTTTTGTTTTTTTTTTGCAGCTGCTAACTAAAAAGGAGCTCTGGTAGCGTAGTGGTTACGAATCGGGCTGCGAACCTTAAGGTCAGCGGTTCGAAACTACCAGCCGCTCCGCGGGAGAAAGATGAGGCTTTCTGCTCCTAAAAAGATTTATAGCCTCAGAAATCCTATTCAGGGTCACTATGAATTGGAACCGACTCCATGGCACATAACCACTACCAACAACTAAAAAAATTGGACCTTCAAATCTACCTTGTTGTTGTTGTTAAGTGCTGTCGACCCAGAGGCATCTAAAAGGAAAGGCCTATTGATTCACTTCTGAAAAATCACTGGTAAAAGTCCTATGGATCCCAGTTCTGCTTGACACACATAGGGTGACCATAAGTCAAAACCAACTTGAAGGCAACTCAGAGAAGATGGAGCCATGTTGGGTGGTACCCATCATATGGGGAGTTGTCTGCATTCCCTTGGAGCTAAGTATCAGGTATATGTAACAAAGTGAGTGTGTGAAATGTGTGATTTCAGACTAAGCCTGAAGTGTACAGGCCACATTTCTTGTTGCCAAGGTCAAGCTGCTCTTTTCATGTTATCAGTATTGTACTAAGAAAAGCCACAAGCAAATGAAACAAGGGTGGGGCAGCCGGTCAGTCTCATGAGCTCCACCTTAAAGCAAGTACTAAAGAAGAGCTATTGAGGTTTGAGTTGTAAACAAAGATGAACATGGAGAGAGATGGTTCAACACTATAACCAAAAGTGAATTCATGCTCCAGGACTTTGTGGGTGCGGTTGGTTCCCCTGCCAGTACTTTCACAGTGCATGCACTTAAGCCAGATGTTCTAGAAATCTGACCAAGCAAGGTCAAGTGAACAGAAATCTGGGCTTGGTGAAGAGACTTGGACAGAGACCACTGGTGGTGACCTGGACTACCCTAGGCCCTCCTGCACCAAGGAGTCCTGGCTCCTCCCAGGGAGATAAATGAAGCTTTCTGAATCTACAATGTGAATGTTAAGGTCAATGCAAGGCTCTTGTAAACAATGCTACAAATGTTTAAAAAGTCGCCCCCCCCAACTAATTTCTTTTTTTTTTTAATGTTTTATTGTGAATTATGTGATAGTTTACATGGGAGAACATTAGTTTTACACTCATCCAATCGTATATCGTTTTATTGCCATGGTTGAAATCACCTCCATGCATCATCAACCAACCAAAGGGTATACCCTGCAAGCCTACCCCCAGGTCATCAGCACACAGCCCCTCTCCCTCTCTGGGTCTAAAGTCCCTAGCTGCTCCATCTCTCCACATCATCGTCTCTGCCTCCATCTCTGGCATCACTGCTTCTCTGTGCCCCAACTAATTTCTAAGAAAAACTTAAACCTGTTTATAATAATTAATATTCAGAGAAAGACTACAGCCTCCACAAGCTGGAAAAGGCAGGGAAGCAGACTGTCCCCTAGAGCCACTAGAAAGATGGCCCGGATGACACCTTGCTTTGAATTTATTGAAACCCATTTTAGACTTTGGGACTTCAAAATTATGAAAGAATAGGTGTTTTTTGTTTTTTTTGTTTTAAACCAAATCGAGAAAACAATAGAGACCTTGATAACTTTGACTATGCCAAAGTAATGTCTTATGAGAGATAAGCTATGCAAAGCCAAATACAAAAAAGCTAGGAGACAAAGTCTTCCTTATGGTGCACATCCCAATGTGTGTTTTCAGGTATATATCAGGTATCCAGGCAGACTAGAACAGCTTTAACCAGGAAGTCTCTCGTTGGGTTCAGGCACTGCTGGCCCATAGTCCCACCTTTCATATATGTCAGCTTCTTTCCCTTCTGAAAAGCAAATGTCACAAATCTCACTATGCTCTTCTAGTCCCTCGACCAATCGAAGCCACCAAATCTGCACCCCAATGAGGGCTCACTCACTGCTCTGTGTCAAGTTTGTACACGTTTATCAAATGCCAGCTTTCTCCACTTTCTGATCCCTATCCACATAGTACCCAGCTACATCATCTCTCCCCTTACTACAGAGCAGCGTTTGCACACTGTAGTCCCAGAACCCTTGCTGGGCCCTTTTCCTGCACTCCTGGCCAACTACAGCAATTGAAATTGTTTCTAACTGCCAAAATGGTCAATTCTGCAATGTTTTCCTATCACGTGTGGGGAAGTGAATAGTCTTCTTTTAGATACTAGAGCTGTAGAGCATATCTGACTCTCCTGCTCAGATAAGGAACCAAGTAACCTTGCCAAGTTGTGGTGAGTGAGAAGAGTGCTGAGCACACACCTCTCCTACAGGAATTACAGGAATGATGGGAGCCAACTCCCAAGGATTTTCCCAGCTTCTACCAACCAACTCTGAAATGTGTTTGCGCTTGCAAGCTAGTTGAACTTGACTCTCAACAATACCTCATGAAAGTAGGAGTTACCATTCACATTTTATATGTAAAGAGGTAAAGGAGTTCCTGAAAGGGGTACAGCAACTGAGTGGTAGAGCCAGGACATGAATCTAATTCTCAGATACCGAACTCAAGCTCACTTCTCAGTACTCTTACCGGAAGTATTGTCCCTATGTACTAATTCATTCCTTTGATCTCATAATCTCAACTCTGAAGAAAACCTTGTCAATTTCTTAATTGAAAAAGGGTCTGAGGGAAGAAATGGAAGTAAGAAATGACGATCACTGAGGTCACTATTTCCTAGAACTTTCAAAATTCTCTTGTCCTATGTTGAGCTTTAAGATAGCCTCCCCAACAGGAACAAGCCCCAGGCAATATTAAGAAACAAAAGAATCAAATAAGGAATGTGACTGAAGAATACAATGAAAGTCAATACCTGGCTGGCATAATTCAAATGTGTATTTCCTTGACATACCACATATATTACTGTGCTTCTGAGTAACTATACCTCAGGGAACATGTGATTCCAAAGTAAACAAATATGTAACTCCGAGGCTAGTACCAGTAATATTGCAAATGAATATTTCTCAGAATCTTAATGAAATATCCAAAACAAGAAGGAGTGAGAAGTGACAAAGTAGGGGATAAATACAGTTCCTCAGTTTTCAAGAATACTAGTAACTTACAAGTATCAGTGTATCACATTAGGGACAAAAAAGCCACATTATTTAAAAGGAAGCTTGGTGGTGCAGTGGGGCAAGTGTTGGGCTGCTACACAAAGAGTTGGTGGTTTGAACCCACCAGGTGCTCCTCAAGAGAAAGATGAGGATTTCTGCTTCTGTAAAGATTTACAGCCTCAAAAACCCTAAGGAGAAGTTCTGCATAGAATTGACTTGATAGCAGAGATATGGGAGGTTGCTTAAACTAAAAAAGGAGACCTGGTAGTACAGTGGTTAAGCACTTGATTACTAACAGAAATTCTGGTGGTTGGAACCCACCCGTCACTCACAAGAGACAGATGTGGCAGCCATATTTTGTCCTATGGTGTTGCTGCTATGAGTCAGACTCCATTCTACAGCAATGGGTTTTGTTGTTTGGTGCTTAAAGCAAAGTTCCTGGCTGGCGTAAGGGATTAATGTGCACAGGCACTTTGGAAAATCATTCATTGAAAATTATACGGAGCACAGTTCTGCTCTGACAAATGATGGGTAACCATAAGTCAGGGTTGATTTGAAGGCAACTGGAGCTTAAACTGCAAAAACTCCTATTCTAAAATGACCACCAAAGTGATCAGTTCTGCTGCATTAATCCTGTCACTGTGGGGAGATGAATGTGATAAGCAGAGACATTAACTGGTCTTATAAAAAACAACACCCCATTCAAAACTAGGTGTGTGCCCACATTCTCTATGAAACGACCATCACTATCTTCCTAAGAAGAGACTTCTCAATATCTTTTTCTCATAACCAATATTGGGAAACACCCAAAAGAAATGTCTCCTCCCTGAACAATTCCATCATGAGCCTGAAGCAGGGATCCTAGCTACTTAGAGCCCACATGGGTTTTCCATACGTCACCTGAGCAGAAAAGTCAATTAGTTTTGGAAGCAGGACTTTGCCACCTTCATCGCTCTTCAGGAAATCCAGCAAACTGCCTGTGTATAGAGTTAGAATAAGTCAGTGGAGTTTAAGCACATAAAGAAAAACAAAAAGAACCAAAACAAAATTGAAAGTAGTCATCACTATCACTAGTTGTCATCAAGTTGACTACACTCACTGCACCCATGTGTGTGTTAGAGCAAAACTATGCTCCACAGAGTTTTCAATAGCTGGTTTTTGGAAGTAGATCACCAGGACTTTCTTCTGAGGCACCTCTGGGTAGACCTGAACTTCCAACCTTTCAGTTAGCAGCTGAATGATTGACTGTTTGTAATACCGATCACCTGTGGGGGCCTGTAGGACTGAGTGACTCTGCAAGACTTTTCCTGAGGTGGTCACACAACAGGTTACCTTTGCTCTAATGTGAAAAGTAGTGTGTGCTCTCTGTAAGAAATGGAGTATTGGAAACTACTTTTCTGCAATAAGTGACTGAAACCAATGTATTTTCAGAGCACTATGTACCTTGGAAACCCTATGGCACTTACAACAACAACAAAAATATACTTGATATATGAGGGTAAGTAAAAAAGTATTGTTTCTAGGGTTCCAGTTCATACACACATGGTTTTATTTCAAACAAAACATGTTTAAAAATGTCTCTGTGATCAGTGGATGGCTGCAGACAAGTTCTCCCAGTAATACACTTGTTCTTATTTTCATTGTTGTTAAGTGCATTGAATTGGTTCTGACTCATAGCAACTCTGATTAAGGTTTCCAAGGAGCAGCTGGTGGGTTTGAACCACTCATCTTGCAGTAGCAGTCCAACACTTATCCTATAGCACCATATGAAGACTCCTTAATCTTGTTATTGCTGCTATGAGTTGTTGAGTTGGTTCCAACTCATAGTGACCCTATCTAGGGTTTACAAGAATGTAATCTTTACGAGAACAGAGAGCCTCATCTTTCTTCCGTAGAGCATCTGGTGAATTTGAACTGCTGACTTTGTGGTTAGCAGCCCAATGTGTATCCCACTACACTCTCAATCTCATTGGTGGTGGTGTGCTGTGGAGTTGGTTCCAACTCATAGTGACCCTGCATAGGATTTCTGAGGCTATAAATCTTGACAGGAGCAGAAAGTCTCATCTTTCTCCTGAGGAAGAGTTGGTAGTTTCGAACTGCTGACCTTGAGGTTAGCAGCCTGATTCATAACCACTACAGTACCAGAACTCCTTCCAATTTCATTAGATGTATTCAAAAAAAAAAGGATATTTTTCAAGCCAAGGAAAAAAAAATTATTTTGAGGTCAGTGATAATATTAAGTTTTTAACAAAACTCAAGTGGACATCTTCCCAAATCATTGAAACGTCGCAATAAGTTGACAAGAATGCTGTCCCACCTAAAACAACAGTTATTAGATGGATAAAGCATTTTGAGAAAGATCAGGAAGACCTCAAAGATGATCCAAGATGGAAAACTATCAACCTTGACAAATGAAGAAACTGATAGGAGACAATCACAAAATTGCTATTGATACAACAGCTACTAAAGCTCAGATCTTACATGGCCCAGCATTTTTTTTTTTTTAAATGTTTTATTGTGTGGCCCAGCATTTTTAAGTGAACATCTTGGCCTCAGTAAGCTTTTGGCTTGATGGGTGCAAAAACACTCACGAAGATCAGCTAGCTCAAAGAGCTGATCTTTCCATCAGTCTTTTAAGTAAGATCAACACTAATAAAGATGCTTTTATTAAAGGAATTGTAACCAGGGGTGAGTCTTAGAACTACCAACATGATCCAGAGAGCAAGGTCCAATTAAAATAGTGGCTTCTGAGAGAATATGCTGGGCTAGTTAAATTCAAGGCAGAGAGGTCAGATCAGAGGGTTATGGTGACTGTTTTGGGGGATACGAGGGGTAATCGTGATAGATTTTATTTGAAGGACACAGGAGAATCGTGTGGACTTGTTAGAAAGAAGTTAGAAGAAAATTGAAAGCTGCATTGATAAGAAAATGGCCAGGAGCATTGTGCTGAGAAATTTTTTCCATCATGACAATGCACTCATTCATTCTTTGAGGGTACTAAGGACTGTCCTACAAGAAGTTCACTGGGAAACCATACTCTATCTGCTTCACAGTCTTGATCTTGTCCCGTCAGACTTTTTTGGTTCCCCAAACTCAAAGAACAAGGAGCTCTGGTAGCGTTATTTGTTATAATCGGGCTGCTAACCTCAAGGTCAGCAGTTCGAAACTACCAGACATTCTGCGGAAGAAAGATGAGGTGTTCTCCTCATGAAGATTTATAGCCTTGGAAACTCTGTACAGGTTCACTATGAGTTGGAACAAACTCCATGGTACTTTACAACAACAACAAACTCAAAGAATATTTAAAAAGAACACAATTTGAATCCCTTGAGGGTGCCAAAATGACTGTTTTGATGTGGTGTAATATTGGAGAGTGTAGAATTCTTTGGGGATGGGTTTAGAGATATGGAAACAACACCTTCAAAGCTATATAGACCTAGATTGAGGACATACTGAGAAACAGCAGCTTCACATTTTGATACCTTTGTTTAGGAAATATTTCTATGATTTTGTAGCTGTACTTTTTGTCTAATGCTCATACTTAGTGCAACACCTGATCAGAAACACCTGGGACAGAAACCCAGCAAGTTCCCATTTAAGGTCTGTCCATAGTAGGCACTGGGCTAAGGCTTGCTCCTATCTATATGTAGCAACAGAACTTGACTCCTGCAGCAGGTGTTGAATGAATATTTATGAATGAACTGGGCTTGGAAAAAAAATAAATAAAAGAAAACCTACATAAAAGGGAATATGCTAACAGCAAACACTTACTAATGGTTTCTTCTCTAGAAAATGAAATGCTCTACCCTACCTATGCCCCTAGAATGTAAAATATATACCAATCTGAAATGCAGCCTTAGAAAAGTTACTTAACTCCTCTGTGTCTCAGATTCTTTCTGCTTCATAGGTATGTACTAGTACCTGTATCAGTTACTGTAAGAACTCAGTTAGATGATTGAGTTAAGTTATGTTGGTGTTTGATAGATAGCTAGCAATTCAAGTGGCACAGAGGTAAAAGCCCTCAGCTGCTAATCCAAAGGTTGGTGCTTCCAATCTACCAGCTGCTCTGGGAATAAAGCTGTGACAGTCTGTTTCCACAAAGATACACATCCTTGAGAACCCTATAGGGCAGTTCTACTCTGTCCTATGTGCTTGGTATGAGTGGGAATTGACTCCATGGCAGTGGGAAGGTATACGATACAAAAGGGCTTCCAAAAAATCCGTGGAAAAAGTCCATTCTCTTTCAATTGCATTTTTCCGTGAACTCTTTAAAGCCTCTTACACTGTCTTGTCCATGACATGGGAATGATTGTGCTTACCTCTCAGACTGCTAAAAAGGTAAAAACAAGGGCTCAGTATACATTAGTTTTTGCTCTCAGGAGAAACTCTTATTTGTATTTCTAATTCATAACATTAATTAATCCTACTAATATTACTAACTTCTACAAAGAACCCTGGTATGGTGTTATAGAATAAGCACTGAACTACTAGTGTCAAGGCCAGTGGTTCAAACCTACCAGAAACCTCAGAAACCCTATACAGGGTTGCTATGAGTTGGAGCCGACTCAACAACAGACAATAACAGAACACAAAGCATCAACCATGAGCGTGGTGTCTGAGCTAGAACAACGTAAGCCATTTTTTTTTTTTTTTTAAATATACTTCTTGAAGGATTCTGAGTGATTCACATTCTGAAATACTAAAAGATATTAAATAAGAAAATTTCCATATCTAACCTTTTCAACTGTGATATCACAGTATAATCCCCATTGTGCACGGGATAACTTTTGATTCTGATGAAAAGAAGTGTTTTCTTTTTATCTCCCTCATTTCCTTCTTTGTTCTTTCCTTTAAAGACTAAACTAAAATCATGTGTTTAGCTTATCACTATCATTCCTGGACTGAAAGTGGACATAGGAAGAAGGGTAGTGATTAATATGCCACTTAGCTAGTGTTGATTGGTGGTGGTGGTGGTTATGTGTCATGGAGTCGATTCCAACTCATGGCAGCCCTGTACAGAGTTTCTGAGGCTGTAAATCTTTATGGGAGCAGAAAGCCTCATCTTTCTCCCATGGAACAGCCGGTAGTTTCGAACAGCTGACCCTAAGGTTAGGAGCCCGACTTGTAACCACTATGCTACCAGAGCTGGGTACTATTTTCACAGCTAATGTGCACGTGCAGACTAATTACATTAAAAACATGGAGAGTATTATCAATTTATAATGCTGGTTATTACATCTGCTGAGTAGGTTTATGAATATGCTTGCGTTCCTGTATTTCCTCATTTTTCAGGAGTGAGTGTGCTGTTTTAAAAGGAAAACCATTGGCACATTCCCTGTTTTGACTTTATAAGCCACAGTCTTCTGTACATGTGCAATGGTCGTGGTGCCCAGTGCAGTGCTCACCTTTGGCCATGTACTCTGTGATGATGTAGATGGGTTCCTCCTTGGTGACCACGGCATAGAGCCGCACCAGCTTGTCGTGTTGCAGCATCTTCATGAGGTTGGCTTCTTCCATGAAGGCTTGCACTGACATGGTGCCTGGCTTCAGGGTTTTCACAGCCACTTTCGTGCTATTATTATAGTAACCTGAGGAGGGAAAAAAAGGCTCTGCTTCACCACACAGAATATCATTGAAAAACCTCAATTTGTAGATGTAGAGTTTGGAGAGATTAGCTAGACAGAAAAAATACTAAGTAAACTGTGTAGAGTGTTAACTTTAGGGTAAGCTGGTTGGTGCTAGGTATATAGAAATTCTCTGAATTATCTTTATAACATTTCTGTAAATATCTAAAAATTATACCAAAATAAAGAGTAAAAAAAAAAAATATTACTTATATTCCATTATGGAGACCAAATCTTTCTTCTTATTAATGAAATACTTTTTATCTAAGACCAAATATTTAAAAAATACCTCTATATATTCCATAAGACACACATACATATGATTTGCCCTATTTAAAGATATTAGCATATTTTATATATGAAACATAAATTACAGGCTATGATTTGGAATAAATGTATATTTTGGCTATCTCCAATGGTAATTTTAATCTTGTTTACCATGAAAAACGTCAATTCCAACTCATAGTCACTGATGTGGATCAGAATAGAACTGTGTAACATAAGGTTTTCAATGGCTGGCTTTTTGCCAGTTAACCACCTGACCATTTTTCCCAGGTACCTCTGGGTAGACTTGAACATCCAACCTTCCAGTTAGTATTACCCATGGACTCCTTTGTCCATCATGCCTTTAACTAGTTACCAATTATCTACAATGAATATATATTATTTTAAATCTCAGCTAGGGCTGAAAGTGAAACAGCCAGCTGGTCTGAAGTACAGGGAGGTATATGTGAATTCCCAAACTTGCAGCTAGTACTCATTTGACCAGAACTCAACCAGATGAAAATAAAGATACTTGATACTGTGAGCAAGTATAAATTGTTCCAATTTGATGAACTGAACTTTTGCTTACGGATGCAGTTCCTCAAAAGTCCAGTGGAAATGGAAGGATTCTTCATATCAAGGAATAAGCTTGTTTCCTCAGTATACTGGGTTGATAAGGATGGGCAAGTCAGACATTGGCTATCATAAAAGTGGGGGAAGTTATAAAGGCATGAAGTGGCTGGTTTATGAGATTTCATGAGTGTGCTTAGTTTCAGAACTAGGGCAATAAGATAGAATCCCCACTGAATAGTTTTATTCTTTTCCAGATGGAGCTGGTAAAAGGGGATGGGGAATGATGGTGATAAGATTTTAGGATTCAATTATAGTTAGTAGGATTATAGTAAGTTATAGTTTGTAGGATTAATTGTGATCATCACAACTGTAATTATAGAAGATGTGTAACTAAAAGAGGGAAGTAGTTAATCTTTCATTTCAAGAACAGATAATCTCAGGACCACCAAGAAGGAAGAGCATGAGTGGAGCATGAGATTCTACTTGGAAAAGCAGTGATAGCAGAGATGGTGGCAGAGGTGGTGGCATGGAGAGACAGAGTAGCTGCTGGTTGTAGGCCCCTGGACTAAGTGTGCCTGCAGGCAGGAAGCTGGCTGGTAGAATGTACCCTTTGGACATTTAAATGAATACATATTTTTTGCTTTGTATGTGCACATCAACTCTTTTTGCTTTGTTCATTTGTGAAATATAAGCTGTAAATGGGGAGCCACAGGGAAGAAGTAGGATGGCTGTTGTTGCAGGGAGGGGACTGTAACCTTTGAGAGGAAACAAAGCTTATAATTTGTTGAATGTAAAGCTCATGAGCTTGTCTGTAAACCTTCACTCAATTCAAAGTTAAAAAAAAAAAAGAAAAAAATTGTTTTGCTTTTTTAAGTTTATAACAAAAAAGTATTTATTACTTACTTTAATGTACAATACGCTAGTACAATAAGCATTCCCAACGTTTTCAAAGAGAATTAACTTGGTTGATTCTCTGGTTGGTTAAAAGGATGTAGTGGTTGAGAGACTGAGGAAGCCATGATACCGTCTCCTGTCACTCCCATCCAAGGCCTCTGAGACGTTCTTTAGTGAAGAACCCTGTTTAGCTTTTTTACCCTCTGCATTTCCACACATACTTAACCACAGGGCATTTTCGCAGTGTTTCATACGCACATTCACACGCCATGAAATTAAAGACCCAGGGAGCATACTTTAGGACTTATTCCATAAGAGATTTTCCCACAAGGTACCACTGTTCTGAGACCTGTCTCAATGAAAGGCTTAAATCTAAGTCATTTTCTCGTGGAAAAACCTTTTTTTTCAGTGATGTGGCCAAGCAGATATAGAAATAATCACTCTCTTCTCCTTTTCTTTCTGTTGTCTTACTTCTCTTAGAAGTGTAGTGAAAAGGTGGATAGAGGGGAGAGCTGTGGGTATTGCCATGCATCTCCCTGAAGGGTATCTTTATATTCTGTATTGTACCTGCCCAAAGAACAATGCCACCACTAAGAAATGAAGTCACAAAGCTACACAAATCTAAGTTACATAATTATATATGTATAGCATAAGAGATGACTGGAAGAAACCCTAAGGAAAATTCCAGTGATGATTACCTATAGATGACAGATTTGGGGGGATATTTACTTTCTTCTGTTAAGACTTGTGAATTAATATGCACCTTTTATTCTAAAAGGATTTATTAAAAAAGAAAAATAATATCTTTATTTACACAATGGGCAAAAAAAGTATTGGTTTAAAGTTAATTCAGTCCTAGTCAATGACTTTTCTTCTGATTTCTCTATTAAAACTTTTCCTTTTGTGCTCCTTGTTTTGTACCTAGTGGTAGCTTGCAGTGTCTGCCAGAAAAATAAAGAATGTGATTAAAATCAGTGTTAGAGCATATGGAGACAACAGCAGTAATAGAAAACAGGCAAAAATTGTCCTTAGACCTCTTAAAAAGCCAAAACCTGCAAAAATAATGGAATTATAAATACACAAAGTTGACTAGCAATCTAATTGTATAATCGAAAAAAATATGTCCTTTTCTGAGCTCTCAGTGTAATTAACTTTAAAACAAACACCAACAAAAGCTCTTTGATATTATAATTGAATCAAGAGGATTGTTATCATTTAAAAATTTTATTAATATCTCCTCTGTTACATTGACGGCTTATCAGGAAATATATTCTCTGGTATACATACATTCACCTGAAAAGGGGCTAGTAGACAGAAAATATAAAGAATTCCTACAAATCAGGAAGAAAATTAGAGAAATAGGTTTGAGTGGGCATTTCAAAATGAAAAAATCCAAATGACTAATGAAATTATGAAAGCTACTCAACGTTACAAAGAATTGGTGTGGATCCAAGTAAAATTAAATCTTTGACAACTTTGGTCTTTGTCTGTTTATCATGGGTCAACTCCTTGACCCAGTTGTGAGAACCTTTGTTTTCTTTATGTTGAGGTGTGCTCCATATTGAAGGTATAGTTTTGATTTTTATCAGTACGTGTTTCATGTTGTCTTTGCTCCCAGCAAGCAAGATTGTGTCATCTGCACATCACAGACTGTTAATGAATCTTCCTCCAATCCTGACACCACATTCACCCAGCTTCTAGAGTTATTTTTATTTCTCTAATTGCTTGTAACACAGACAAGAGGCAGTTGTTCAAACAGAACAAGGGTATGTATGGTCCAAAATCAGGAAAAGTGAGTATCAGGATTATATCTTTTCACCATACTTATTCAATCCATATGCAGAGCAAGTAATCCAAGCATACATATGGACTATATGAAAAAGAACATGAAATCAGGATTTGGGGAAGAATTGAAGCACTTTCTGGTGAAGATCGAAGACTGTATCCTACAGATTGGCTTATAACACAAAGTACAGAAAACAAAAATTCTCACAACTAGTTTGTCATACTGTGGTGGCTTGTTTGTTGCTGTGATGCTGGAAGCTATGCCACTAGTATTTGAAATACCAGCAAAGGCACTGATTGTTGTTGTTAAGTGCCATCGAGTCAGTTCTAACCCATAGCGACCCTGTACAGGGTTTCCGAGGGTGTAAATCCTTACGGGAGTAGAAAGCCTCATCTTTCTTCCGTGGAGCGGCTGGTAGTTTTGAACCGCTGACCTTAAGGTTCACAGCCCAATTCGTAACCACTATGCTACCAGAGCTCCTTAAGGCACTGATAGTGGATAGGTTTCAGCAGCATTTCCAGACTAAGACAGAAGAAGCTAGAAAGAAGAGGCAGATGACTACTGATTAGGTTAGTCACTGAAAACCTTATGAAAAGCAGAACACTGTCTGATATACTGGCAGAAGATAACCCCCTCATGTTGGAAGGCACTCAAAATATGATGGAGGAAGAGATGCTGTCTCACAATAGATTTGACCTTAATGATATGAATAAAGTAAAGCTTCTGGAACCTTCATTTGCTGATAGGGCACAACTCAAAATCAGTAGAAAAATTACAAACATCCATTAATCATCAGAACATAGAATGTATCAAGTATGAATCTAAGAAAATTGGAAGTAATTAAAAATGAAATAGAATGCATAAAGTTGGATATCCAAGGCATTAGTGAGCTGAAATGGACAGGTAGTGTCCATTTAAAATTGGAAAATCATACAGTTTACTATGCAGTAAATGACAAAGTGAAGAGAGATGGCATCACATTCATTGTCAAAAAGAACGTTTCAAGATCTACCTTAAAGTACAACGCTATCTGTGCTAGAACAAGATCTATACACCTACAAGGAAGACCAGTAAATACCACTATTATTCGTATCTATACACCAACCACTAAAATCAGTGATGACGTAATTGAAGAAGTCTACCAACTTCTTCAGTCTGCAATTGACCAAACATGCAATCAAGATGCAATTATGGGTGATTGGAATGCAAATGTTTAAAATAAAGAGGAAGAATTAATAATTGGAAAACATGGCTTTTGTGATAAGAAAAGAAACCGCTGGAGATCTCAAAATAAAATTTTGCAAGATAAATAAATGACTATTTTTTTTAACAACAAATACCTTTTTTTAAAAAACAAAAAAGGTGGCTATATTCCTGCAAATCAACAGATGGAATATACAAGAATCAAATTGATTATATATCAGTGGAAATGATGATGGAGAAGCTC